AGCTTTTTTTTTAGAATTGGTAACTGTATGCAGCCTTGCGTTGTTAAAAAGTCTAATATTGTGTTTATTTGATATTATGTGGTTAAAGGACATCTGAGCTTTGCCCTCCATATGATGTTTGACTGCAATTCCCATCACTCTCAACCACTGGAACCCCAGCTGCAATGAGGTTTACAGAAACATTGAAATGACGTAGCGATGATCTTAGCAGTATCGATCTATCTGTCTGTCTCCGGGAATTAATATGGTACATAAAACCAATATCAATAATGAAATCATTAGCTACCTTTTATGTTCCTTTTTGGATATTTTTTTCAACTGTTGAACTACACACATCTCATTTCAGTCGGCTATTATGTTCCAAATTTACTCTTAATAAAGATCTAAAGAAGGGCTTTTTGTGTAAAAAAAAAAAAAAAAATTTCCTTAAGAGGAAAAAATGATCAAAAATGACCTGTTTTGTAATGCATTGTATTGTTAATGAAGTAAAAAAAAAAAAGTAAAATAAGATACTTGCCTTCAAAGATCCTGAAGCTACGAGTTGAGCCAGGCTAACTACAGTTTTAGAAATCTCTACCTCACCAGGAAGAGGCTCCACCTATCAGGAACATCTCATTCTGGGCTATGGGGTCAGACTTTATATCCTGTCCAGCAGGGGTTTCTGCGATAATCATTCAGTCTTCAGAATTAGTAGAAATGTTCTATACACAAATGTTGGTAACCTTGTAGTTTATACACTGCTCAGCTTATCTCTTTAGTTAGTGGGTAGAGTGTGCTTACTAGTGCACATCCTGAACAAACTTGACACAGCAAAGGTGAAAGTGAAATCTCCTTTTGCTATGTCTGACCCAGGGGGCCGTCTTAGAGCTGTAGTGAAGTTTACAAATTGCTGCAGTTAAACTGTACCCTCAGTGTCGGGTACTCTCTGAACTTTGCAATACTGCAGAGTTATGGCGCATAGAGATTTTTACAACTGCGTGTTCATAATCTAAATCCGCTCCGAAATTATAAATTTTATCTGCAAAAAATGCATGCGGCTACATCTTACACCTAGATCACCCTTTGATGCCCCTTCCATGCTATCCCTCATTGCAGTTTCTTAATAATCTTTTCACAGCGTGGAATGTCATGGAGATTTGGCATTAACATGACCGTGAAATTCATCTATCGACAAATGGTGTGCCTCTCTGTCAGCGAGGATCAAAATCAGTGACCCTAAAATGACAGATTGAATGTAAACATCATTCGCAGTGAACAAAGTTCCTTTTAACAAGTGTTTGACCAGATTTTGTGGTTAGGGCAAGTTATTTCCTCTTCCTGTTCTTGTACATCTTTAGAGCTTTGGGGATCCTTTTAATAATGTGTGATCGTGCAGTTTCTACAATTGCATTAGTAGGGAGGACAACTGTAGCATATTAAATACATTGAACAAAGTGCCAACGTTGATCTAAAATACCCCAAGCCATTGAAGGATTGAAGATTTCAGATAGTACCCTTTTCTTATTTGTGTCCTTGTGTTGTGGAAATTTCCTAGTGTTGTCAAAATGTTTCATTGCAAAATGTAAAAAGCAATTCCCAATATCTCCTATTGTGGTTTTTTAATTTTTTTGTTTTTTTGTTTTTTTTAAAACAATAGTTCTCATCCTTCTAAAAAGCACTTTAACTCATGTCCTGCACTGTGAAGACTGTAGAACCGAAATGTAAAATGAATACATAAAGCACTTACCTACAAAGATAACACAAGCGTTCAACAGTAACCTTGGAAACCTCAAAATGCCACATTCATAAAAGCGCAAATTGGACACCACAGGATTATAATCAATTTTTATTTTTCTCTTTGACTGAAAAGCAATGACTAATCTCTTATTACGTAAAGCCTTGTGTTCTGTAGGAAGTGTGCATAGTGAGCCTGCTTTTAGCCATCCTTTTCAATTAGTTACTGTCAGACCAAATACGTAAGAGGAGAAGGGTTGCCATGGGACTGTGTTTTTGGAAGCTTAATTCTAGTTAGTAAGGGCACATTCTAAAAAGGTCACGTTAACCTTTATTTGTGAAAAATCAACCAATGTTGGAACAATGATGACTAACCTCGGCTTTGCAGATGTTTGTAGACCTCTTTGCCTCTTGCTTACATAGTCTTTGTCTATGTGCAGTAACCCGTATGTGTTTGCAAACATTTGCTGTGCCAAGGTCTCATTCATGAGGGGCTAGATTTTCGTTTTGATGATATTTAGTGTTAACAAAATTTTAGGATTATTTTATAGTGTATTTCATAAGGACAGGCATTTTGCAAGAGGCAGTCCATGTTTTTTTTTTTTTTAGTCCATGATAAAGATTCATGAAACGATATGTGCAAAATCGAAAATGAACACAAAGCTATCACGTGGAATAAGTATTGTGAATGAGGAACCTCTCATTTTGCCATATGTTCTGTTTTACAAAAACAAATGCAAAAAAAAAAGTCAGCGCTAATGAGCCACAGAAACCAAACGCAGGCAGCACACCTAGAGTAATGGGGTTCCCTCACAAACCCCCAAAATGATTGGAGGTAAAAGAAAGGAAAGAGGAAGGTAGCGCCAGTAGTGTTTTATGTGGTATAATATGTATATATCTAAATTCTATAAGAGCTTGAAGAGGTACTAAAAGATATATCTGTTTGTACATATAAGAGAACTGAAAAAGTCCCAGTGGTACAGTATATATTTACAAATATAGCTGAGTGCACAGTAATACAGATTCGACTCACATTTGCCAGAGCTATGACTTGCTCTAGTTTTGACAGTGTAGGGTGGTGTTATCCCCATGTTCTATTTTGCATGCTTAGCCAAGTACTTGCAAAAGTGCAAGTAGGGTACAAGCCTTTTAACTCTGTTTTGGAAATATTTGAAATGTGACAGTCACCAGACTACAAAGAAGAGCTAACTTGCCTCTGTCCCTCTCACCTAGTAATTTGTCTATCCCAAACTGGTGTGTAAAGAGTGTGTAACAAGGGTTTCCTGCCTCTTTTGATTTGGGCTGTAGTCCCGAGTGGAAGTAAGAGCTTCTCCTAGAGAAGCATTTGTTTCATTGTTTCTCTATGAAGAATGTTTTAAATCAACGGAAGGACCGTTTATTAGCTGCCTGTTCAAATTTAGCAAGTGTCATGGAAACTTTTTCAACCAAATTGCCATTACTGCATTCTTGTTAATGCCTTTCAATGCGGATGATTCCCATCTCTTGATTACTGCAACTTTTGAAGGACCTTCCACTCAAGTGCACCAAAGTCAACCGTAATACTGCAAACAAACCTGTATTAAAAGAAAATATTATTTATTCCCAATGTATGGGTTTACAATCCATTTTCAACAAACATACAGAGCCTGCAATTCACCAAAATCGTGTTGCATACTTAATCACTTTTTTCCTTATATGTGGGAAATAAATTAAGTAAATCATTTTTGAATACTTATTTGGTCTCTGTATTGGGCCTTATTGGCAGATCACTGCAATTGCTGTGCATGCACCGGCTGTCCCAATTCTTTAATCGTGGAGTTATCCTTGGAGAAGGTCAACATGTGCTGCTGTTTTTGTACCTACAGCGTATTTACTGTTAGAATTACTGCTTTTTTTTTTATTTTTACAATGCATTACATCTTCATGTAAAGTTATCTAATGCATAAATAATCGCTAAACACTGCACTCTATCTGAGAACTGGAAATTATAACTTGGCTGAGTTTTCCCAGCCACTTCTTCCTTCAGGTAGAGCTTACTACCGACTCTGTTAGTGCAGGACTTTAGAAGAGGGATGTTTTTTGTTTCTATTCTATACATAAAATGTCTTCTCCAGCAGTATAGTTTAAGCATTGAAATGTTTACCAATTTTTTTTTAACCAGGAAGAGAAACCGATAAGGCAAAATAGCACTTACATTTACACAGCAGCTTCAAAACAGGGCATATTACGAAAATGATTATGGAAAGAAAAAAAAGGCAAATCATTGCTTTATAATGTTAGATGTAAGGTGGCTGCTAGTGGGCTAAATAGGACAATGCAGTTGTTTTGAGAACATGAGCTGTGATGCCATGCTGCCACCTGTCCCAGTCACTTTATTTCCACCTAAATTACTCAGAAAGCCGCATAGAAACTCTTTCAAACGACAACGTCCAAATCTACACCATTTTCTTTCAGTGAATACCCATTGATGCTTTCTACTTACATATAATGGATAGAAACCCTTGTATAAAGGTCCAAGTCGTTCTTGCCATGTAGTCTTCAAAGTTTATTTTCTTCTAAGGAGTTTTGGGGTTTATGTAGCTCCCATTAGGTAGATAAATGGATGCCTGACGAGGCTCGTTACTTCAAAAGTTAATTTTTATTTTTTACGTTAATTGGCTGCAGGCCGCGTAAACTCACCCCCTCTTACACACACTCCCCATTGTCATTCACAATCTGTGTAGTCATACTATATAATCCGTAACCTTATGGAAGCTTACGAAGCAGCAGTGAACTTTAAATTAAATTTTTTTTTTTAAAGTTAGCAAGTTCCTCAAATCATATAATGCTAAATCTCAGGGCTACACCTCGGGCTATGTATTCGGATTGAGCCATTTCCTCTCTATATATGCCACCGCGTTTTAGTTTTGCAAGGTGAGCAGTTCCGCAGTCAGACAATTTACAACATATGCCTTTGTTTCTGCTGCTGTGCTCCTATTCCTCCTCATCCTCTGACAGCTTCTCTTACTTAAGAAATGGTGTGTGAAATATACCGGGGGGAAACTGTCTATTATTCCAGCCACTGTGATCCAAGGGCTTTTCCATGCCTGGGGTACAGACTGTACTCAGCAATATGCTGCAGGTCCCCCCGGCAATGAAAGAGAGTACTCGTATTATTGCTATCTAGGCCTCATAAGAGCTTTCCAAAACTTCACACTGAATAAAAACAAACACAAACATCGTATTATAAGGATCTGTTAAGTATACACTGCCATAGGAGCTACAAGGTTCATGCCAGAATCCCAGAAGAAATCAATGTAATTGCCCCAAACACTTTATATCAGAGGTGCCCAAAAGGTAGATCCACAGATGATGTAGAACTTCAACTCCCATGATTCTTTACGTGCCGTTAGAGTGCCTTTAGTACGACAAAGCATCATGGAAGCTGTAGTTTTAAAACATCTGTGGATCTACCTTTTGGACACCTCTGATATAAAGTGTTTGGGGGCAATTACATTGATTTCTTCTGGGATATATGTTGTCCTTATGAAGCTTCCGCCTGCATTAGAGCCTATGTGGAATGCAACTCCCATAACTCATTCAACCCCATGGAGTTGGATTCCCTTATAGCAAGCATGGTGCCAGTTACAGCTCAACATAAAAAAAAATCTTTGTAATTTAATTGACGGTAACAAATATATATATATATATATTGGATAATATTCATAGTAATAAAACTTGTGAACGTTTTTTTTCAGCTGGCAAGTGCTTTATTCATATTTTCTGATCTAAGCAGATTCTATGACATTCCTGTCTTTCACTGACATGCTTTAGGTGGATAATATGACATAAAGGAAAGGGAAGAGAATTGCTAACGCCGGGCCAGTGACAACTCTGTGGGCGATCTGACTCGGTGGTTGTCAAATAACTGGCATTTTCTCCGCTGCTTTGATGGCAATGCTGGTGTGGAACCGTTCCGGGGCATTCATCTCCTTTCTCAAGGACATTTTGGAGTGTTATGCATTGTCACAGAAAGTACCATGCAGTAGTGGAAAATAATAATGCAGTTATCGATAAATATGAAGTTTGCAAAGGCCCTCCCCCTATCTGTGCAATGCGTTTTGTCGCAATGACCTAAAGTGGGTTTATAGAAAGCTTCATGATCAGCTGAAGGGCAGGTTTTAAAAATGGTTAACACAACAAACTGATCTAAATGTGACAATCTCACGTTAATCATTATTTTTTAGCAATGAAAAGAGTAAATCTCTGTACCCCAGAATATTTGTGTTTAGTTAAAAAACAAAACAAAACAAAAACACAAATTGAGCTCCGTATACACAGTCAGACTGGAATAATGTAAGTTTTATCAGATTATTGCGTTAATCAGTCCATTTAACCCCTTAATAACTGGGTGTCAAGTTTCCATATATAATGCCGGTATGGCATTTGTCATGCAAAAAGGGTTAAAATGTGTTCCAGCCATTGTCTGGGCTTAATTAATGAATAGATTTAAAGCTACATTACATTGTGCCAAACGCAGCACTATCAGCCAAAAAACACATGTTTAGTTTAAGCTTGTGTATTTTACAGTGATTTAGTAAGTCACAATATTGCCAACTTGACTACGGAGAATTTACACATTTTCTTTGCCCGCTTTGGCTAACAGTCTGATTTAGTAAATCTCTGCAATTCTTCTCTGATGTAAGCTTTTTTTCCGCGGAAGCTAGCTTAGCATGATAGTGTTTATTGACATACAAGGGCATACATTCTAAAGATGCTGTAATGCCATGGTTGGGAAAAGGCATGCAAAATTTAAGTCCACGGAAGGTCCACTTATAATTTGGACTTCTGTATGGATCTTCTGTGTGAGTTGTGAGATAATTAATGCGCATTGCAACTCTTCCAAATATCCGCTAATCCATACAATAAGTACTCTTTACTTTGTCTTATTGTTTTTTTTGTTTGTTTTTTTTTTTTAGTTTTGTAATTTTACTCTAACCCTTATACTTAAATGCATTTTTGTTTGTAAGTTAAAACTATGAAGAATGTTTTAAATCAACGGAAGGACCGTTTATTAGCCGCCTGTTCAAATTTAGCAAGTGTCATGGAAACTTTTTCAACCAAATTGCCATTACTGCATTCTTGTTAATGCCTTTCAATGCGGATGATTCCCATCTCTTGATTGCTGCAACTTTTGAAGGACCTTCCACTCAAGTGCACCAAAGTCAACCGTAATACTGCGAACAAACCTGTATTAAAAGAAAACATTATTTATTCCCAATGTATGGGTTTACAATCCATTTTCAACTAACAACATACAGAGCCTGCAATTCACCAAAAAAACTTACCTGAAATCATGCATCAGGCGACGATCTTTCTCGACCCAGACGTCATGCCGTGTCACTGACTTTGTTTCGTTGATCCTATGAAGTGCTTATCATAGAATATCTTTCGATTACATTGTTTGAGTGGCTCACAGAGAATGCTATATTTAAAATGGCATCACAGAGTTCCAGGCTGCCCAAATCACATGTGCCGGGGGTTTTAATTAGCCCCGGCACAAAAGTACAAATTTCTGTGTGCCTCGTTTTATGCAAAAACACTGCACATATAGACTCTTACCACCATAACCACCTCTAAAAGCAGAAGTGGCCATGGTGATTGGAGTAGCCCTTTAAACTCTAATTGTGAGTTTTTTCATAAATATACTGTCATTGTGAAAACGCAAAACTGACATTGCTACTCTAACAGCACACAGCTGTTTTGATATGTGCAAAAAAACATTTTATTTTTTTTTACCTTAACATTCTTTTAAATAATAACGATCAAAATAAATAATTGTACTGATTCTTAGAATTGTGGGAGTGCTGCAAACAAACAATGACATATCATGCTGGAGGATTACATGGGAATTGTCTTATAGCTAGTGGCAACTCATTACCATGCATGATCCTTTCAATAAACAAGATTGTTGGCGAATGGCAGTTGATTTTCATTTTGACAGATGGATTCCCTAAAGGCATTTCTTCTTGTCACAGATATTGACCGTTCGTTATTCATGCGCATTTCACACTGAAAATGACATGAGTGCCATCTCTTTATATCTGCGCGCCCGTCGGATTCTGCTCCTCGCTGTGGATTTATGTTTATTTTGTGTTTATTTCACACTTTTACTTAAAGGAAAATCATCATGCAATGTAAGCTTCATTTTTAGCCTTTAAACAGGGCTCTTTGCACTGTACAGTAGTTTTTACATTATTTTAGTCTAACATAATAAAGATGCAAAGATCTGCTTTTAATGCATTTTTAAATGTGCTGTGTTTCTTTATAGCCAGTCAGGCCTGAATCAGTTAATACAAAGTTACATTGCTTACCAAACTTCTAAATAATTTCCTCTGATGGCCCAAGTCTTCAAGCAGGAAGTCTCTGACTGGATGCCACTGGTAGGTTGACAGCATGAGTGGACACTCTCAGCCTGTTACTAGCAGTCCATTAAAAAAAAAAAAAACGGAGTGAAAAACATATACCTACTTTTTTTATTTTATCTTTTTAATGGTTTCATGACAGGGGAGCAAGTGATGGGCTGAGAGTGTCCGCTGACAATCTCAGTCTAACAGTGGCGCCCAGTTTAAGGCTTCATGATTTAAAAGAACAATATAGGGCTAGGAACACAAACATGTATTCCTATATAGTGTTAAAACCACAATCTGGCCCTTACCCTCCAAAATATAGTAAAATCTGACTTTTGTCTGCAGCTGCTGGCTCTGCCCCTGATCTGCCTGCTTGGCTGACGACATCAGAAGTGTAGTTCTGAGCCAATAACAATGCTTTCTTATAAGATTGGCTGAGATTGTTAAGGAGGCAGATTAGCATCAGCATCTCCTCATAGAGATGATTTTGAATCAATGCATCTCTATGTGTAATATTCAGTGTCTCCATGCAGAGGGAAAAGACACTGAATTGCAGTCACACTGCACCTTGAGTAGCCATCTGAGTGGCCAGTGGAGTTTCTCTGAAAAGACAGTGGTTACTGCAAAATGCCTGAAGGGAATGATTATACTCACCAGAACAAATACAATAAACTGTAGTTGTTCTGGTGACTATAGTGTCCCTTTAAAGCTTAGGGCCATCAGTGGAAATTGATGACTGGGCACAGTCTTCGAAGCTTTGGGGTTAAACCAATCACACGGCATATCAATAGTTTAACACCTTAAGGAAAGATGGTGTCATGGACCACCTTACACCATGACAACTTCACTGCAATGGAATTGTTGTGGTGCCTGGAGATGTGACTCTAGTGCTTTGGTGTTTTATTATACTATGTTGTGTACTCCATGTGTCTCGGCTGTAATGTCTAAGCTTTTGATGACTGTTATGGGCCAGCACTGTAGAGTTCTGCCGGGATCAGAAACAGACAGCAGACACTTGGTTCATGTTATTAGCTACCTAAACAGTGCTCAGAAAATTAAAAGACCAAGATCCAGGCCTCTTCAAATCTAATCGTAATGCTTACTAATAATGAGTGTATTCTTTTTGTGTTTGTGAGCCACTATAGGCCTGAAGGTCACATTGAAAATGTATTTTTCTCATTTGTAATAGCAATGAACAAGCAAATTCGTGAACGGTTTAGCCGCCTGGCGCACGCACCATCCATCCTAATGCTTGCTTATGATTAGTTAATGGTTCTGCAGTTCAGTAAATGCACCAGCAAGACACGATCTGTATAGTGTGACAGTTCTGCTGTTTTCTTAACGATATTAACTCAAACTTAGAGTTTAGTCTAGATATTTTCCTGATCTCTCCACTATGAGGTGCTGCACTGGGTTCACTAGAATGTAGGTCTTTTGGCTAGCTGTGAGATTCCAACCTCTAGTTACCTGGTCAGTGGCAAACTTAAAGGGACACTATAGTCGCCAAAACAATGTTCGCTTAATGAAGTAGTTTTGGTGTATAGATCATGCCCCTGCAGTCTCACTGCTCAATTCTCTGCCATTTAGGAGTTAACTATTTGTTCATGCAGACCTAGTCACACTCCCTTGTGACTTATCCAGCCTCCCTAAACACTTTTAATAAAGAGTACTCTAATGTTTAACCCGTTGGTGACCAGACTGCGGTCACATGGCCCCTGGGGGTCCTAATTTGCAGAGGGGGGACTGTCTGGGCTGTGAGACAGTCCCCCCCCAGTGGAGCAGAAGACCGATGGCTGGTGGATGAATGGCGCTGATCGGGTAAGTACGAGGGAGAGGGAGGGAGGGAAGGGGTTATTTTTTAATTATTATTTATTTATTTATTACTGAGTGTCTCGACCCCTCAAGGTAATCAGCACATGCAGAGCATCGGAAGCCTGCCTGATGGGTTCAGATGCTCTGCACTACACTGCCGAGGGCCACGTGGAGCAACCCATAAGGTGTTCTCCAGCGGCCCGGCAGTGTGAGGGGGTATTTCACGATGCCTCGACTTTGAGGCATCGCTGCAATACCGTTAGAGTGGCTGGAAGCAATCATGATCGCTTCCAGTGCTCTAA